CCTTACTTACCCTGACACTTGTCTTTTTTGGTGGAGGTCTCCAATCTCTGCAAAATGATGTGTTTAAACCATAAATAAATACTTAAGTCAGCTGAGTTTAAGTTATGTTTGAAGAACAAGTCACTATCTTAATAACAATTTATTCTCTTCCTCCCCCATCCACATCAGCTAAAGTTATTCTCGAAATTAAATTTTTTCCTACACAATGTTCTTGTTATCTTTCATTTGTCTTGAAGGCCCATCATTTTTCCTGATTTCCAGATGTTGCTACTTAATCTAAAGAAAATACAGCCTGTGGAGTTAACATGTTTGATTTTCTAAATACTTTGCATCTGTCTTTACATTAAAATTTTGCTTCTCTGTATGATGATTAGAGCATAGGCTCTGGAACCAGGAAAGCGACTCCAGTTTATGCTAGCTGAATGACCTTGGCAAAGTCTTAGCTTACTCACCTGTAACACAGAGCTAATCATAGGGACCATCTCATTGGATTGTGGAGAGTATAACATGACTCAACATTCGTAAAGTGTTCAAAGCCATGTTTGATCCTTAGAATACCAGAGTTTAACACATAAATACACTTGTCTTTCAAAAGCCAAAATTCTAGAGTTTCGATGCTATGCCTCATTTTACTTCCCTTGCACACCTATTTCTTAATAGAAATGCCTCCTTCTCACTAGTGCTGTTTGTGGTTCAGCTGCCTCCCCACCCATCCTTAGACTGTTCTTGGATTTTACCTGCCCACTGAGGTCCCTCAAACACTAGATAATGCTTCTAAGAAGAGATTGACAAAGTTTGGGTCATTGTCTTATCCTTTTTCTCTTCCTGAAGATGCCCCAGCCCCTTTCACAGTAAATTTAGAAAGACTGTGACTCTGCTGCTTCTTGAAAATGGCGGTAAGATATCATCCCCATGGCTAATGTTCCTTCTAAGATGATCTCATGGCTTCCTTTGGCACCAGGACCAGCGAGAGAAAGCATCCAGTGAGGCCCATGGAATGCACATGGGCTTAATCAAACACACAGATACAAGCAATTGCAAATCTACCTCCATCCCATTTAACATTCTTCTAAACCCCATATCCTTCTGACTGGCTCCTTCTGAATGTTTTTATCACAAATTGAGATTATTCAAAAGGTGACTCATTGGCGTCTAGCAAATCTTTGCTTCTGGTGTTCCACATCTGTGAATGGCATCAACATTCACTAGCAACCCAGGTAAAAACCTGAAAGCCATTCTGATCACTTTCCTCTCACCATCCTCATCAAACACCAGCCAAAATCTATGACTTCCATTTCTTCAATGGCTCTTGAACTCACCCTGCCTCCAACTGCTTAACTGTACTCCCTGTCACCAGTGATGCTCTCTCATTCACTCATACCCCTGCTCACAAGCAAACCTGACTTACTTAAAATTCTTCAAGACCTCCTTGAAGTTTTCAGGGGGAAATTCATTTCCATAATTTTGGCTTCAAAGCCCTACTTAATCTCAATACCTATGTGAGTATAACAGAGGCGCTATGTGACAACCAAAAGGTGCTGTTGTCAATCACCAGCTTCTCCCATATCTGCTCAGGATTCAGCCCTCTCTCACCTGCTGACTCCTCAGATCTTTCCACTCTTTTCTTGCATTCTCAGTACCCTCATCTACACTGCCTCATTCCCATTAGCCTATAAACTCACTTTCTCCTCGTCTTTGTCTGTTTTTAGTTTTTTTAATCTAGCTTGTCCAACTAGAGCCATTGTTGGTTTCCTTTGTGAACAAGTTTGCCTGCAGAGTTGTCTGATGTTTGCGTCCAGTGGTTTGTTTGTGTTCACTCTGCCCAACTCAGAGCCACCAGCAGCCTCTCTATGCCAAATTAACATGGTTCATTGCCGGGTCACTCTTACTCTCCTCAGTCAACACTGCTTGTTCCTCCCAGAAACAATCTTTCTTAGTTTTGTTGACTTTGAAGAAAACTCTTAAAAAATACATCCCCCACCCCATTTCTCCTTTCTTCCTAGACCACACTAGCTTTACTCCAGCACCCGAGTTAACCTTATTGACCCCCTATTGTGGTCTTAAATATGGTTCCACCCACATGCTCTTAACTTCCTAATTTACCTGCATTTTTTTTGTATAATGTGCACGTTTTTGCCCAAATTTTTGAGAGAAAAATAAGGATGCACATTATACATGGGAATTAGTACAGAAATATGGGTGTGCATTATACACAGGAGCACATTACACATGGAAAAATACGGTACATTTACAATCTAGACTTGTCTTCTGAGTTCTGATCATAAGCCACTCACCACTCAACATCTCTATTTGGATGTGCTGTTAGCATTTAGCATTGATCATATTCTAACTGACTTCTATCACTCTGCACTCACAGCACTGAGGCCAGTCCGTCCACACTCAGACATAGACACATGTGAGTACACACACATGTATATTCACACGCATAAACATATGTGCACACACATATCTGATCTTCCTCCAATTACCCTATGTCAGTTACTATACACCCACCCACCATTTGCTCCTGCTAGGAACCTGGGAGTTCACCTTGACAAGCCCTTTCCTCCACCCCTCATTCACACATCACTAAGCCCTGTTGGATCTATTCCCCAGATATATTTTTAATGTATCTGCCCTTCTCCCTCTTGGCTTGTGACCAGCTTTATCCAAACCACATTGTCCCTAGTCTGGACTTCTGCAACATCCTCTTACATGACTTTCTTACTTCTTTTTTCTCTTGCTATTGTATGAATCCATACTTCACATGCAACCAGAATGAGCTTTTTGAAACATAAATTGGATCATGCCTCTCCTCATCTTAAAACCTCTTATACCTAGAAGAAGGCATATACTAAGGCAGCATGATTTGAAAAAGCAACAAAGCTAAAACTTCAAAGATAAACAAGGTGGTCAGCCAGAAGAGTGACGGAGATGTATTGTGCTCTAATTAGAGGACAGAGCAAGTGCACAAGGCCATGAGGTATGAAATCTTGGAGCATTTAAGAACCCCAGTGGGACTGAAATGAGGCAGCAAGTGCTATTACATGGTGATGGAGCAGTTAGCAAAGGCTGTGCCATGCAGGGCATTATGTCATGAAATTGTTTCTAATTTTACATATATAACATATATATTACATACTCACACACACACACATTCTATTATTGCCCACTGGCCGTAAGTTCCATGGAGAAACATCCATGCCTGTTTTGTTCATTTTATTCCCATGACCAGTATAGTGTCTGTCACATAGTGGGTGCTAAATTTAATGGAGTATGGAACCGGAGAGCATTACGCTAAGTGAAATAGACCAGGGGGCAAAAGACAAATACCATATGATCTCACCTATGAGCGGAACCTAACCAACAATACAAAGATGCAAGGAGACTAAGACCAGCAACACTGAAAGGAAAAGAAATCAACAGAGACAAGAGGGAAGGAGGGAGCGGGGGCAGGGAAAAGGAAGGGAAGGGGAAAGTCAAGGAACATATAGCAAGGACTCATGGACAAAACCAAAGGGGAAGAGCTGAGGGAGGGAAGGAGGAAGAGGGCAAGGGAAAGTGGTAGGGGGGAGGCAGAGACAAATGTATTTGAAAAAATAAATTAAAATAAAATTAAAAAAATAAAATAAAAATAAATAAAGTAGAAAAAAAAGTCTAAAAAAAAAAAACCAAAGAAAGAAAAGAATTATCTCCAGGATTCTAGCCAGGCTAAGTGGCTGGCAATTGCCCAAATATATTGTGCCATTTCCTCTTCTAAGAACCTTATTTTTATCTAGCTCAATGATTCTCAACCAAGGGGCAATTTTGCCTCCAGGGGACATTTGTTAATATTTGAAGGCATATTTGATTGTCACAATAGTAGGGGAGGAGGTTTCACTGGCATCTAGTAGTTAGGTGCCAGAGATGCTGCTAGATATCCTATAGCAGACAGAACAGTCCCCTGACTCTGACAAACAATTAATTATTCAGCCTAAAATATCAACAGTGCTAAGGTTGAGAACCCCTGGTCTTGCTAATCCTACCTGTCTTCCAAGCCTATGTGAAAGTTTTATTTCCTCATTTACCAGCAAGAGGTTGTCCTCTGCTGTGCTCCCCCAAATTCCTTCATATCATTCATCCTTTTGCCTTTCAATTGCCTGTTATATTTGCCTCTTGCTAGAAGGTTAGGGTATATGTTTCACCAGCTTGCCTAGCACAGTGGGCCATCCATGCATTTTCTTAAATGAATGCAGTCCCCTTAACTAGTACTGAATAAGAAAGTGAAGACAAATTTTGTAGCAACATTTTAAAACATGTATTTGACATACCTGAACTCATGGGTCTGTAGGACTCAGCCAGCCCCCATTTCTGCCTATTATAAGCTACCTGTCTCTAGGTGTCTGTGGTAGTGTGTGACTGACAGAAATAGCAATTTCCTATAGGTCTAACCCATTAACATGGTGCACTCAATTAACCATTGCCTTAAATTTTGAGTTATTCAGGTTTAATCTAACTAAAATAAGGCATAGAACTAGCACATAAGATGGGCTCCTAGCAATGAAAAAAATAGAGCCAAATCTTCTTTAGTAGTTGTCTCTCCTGTGAGTCATGACCCGCTTGATCCACCAGCAAAAATAGAAATCCCCATGGCCACACACTTGTGACCTTCAAATCTTGCTCCTTCCATCAGAAACAACTGAAGCCCTCTCTTCTTTGGATTCAGGCTATGAAATGCTATGTTGGAAGGTTCCACTCCCCTCTCTTCTCATGGCTCCTGCAATCTATGCTCAGCTGGTTTCCTTCCCTTCTATGCTCATCCTCTCTCCCTGCCCTGGTGGCCCTGATCTTACTGGCTGAGCTACAGGAGGTGAGGGCAGGGCTGGGCACACCATATCAAGCTCACTGCTTCTGTGGCTGTCATGAAAGCACCTACTGTGGGGCCTTGGACATCTGCTGCTGTTCCTCTTCCTCCTGCTCTTGGCCCTGCACTCAGCTTCACTCCAGGGTCTCCTCAAAAACTATCTGCAGCTGAAGCTTTCTTGGCTGCCATACTGAGCATGCTTCAGCAGCACCTCTAGCATGAGGAAGCCCTGGCAACAGGCCACACAGCTCCTGTAGGCAGCTCTCTGAAGGCCCAGTAACTTCATGTCATCCTGTTTGCGACAGCAGTTGTTCTTGCTGGCTTCCAGCTCCCAGCACAGGATGGTGTTGGAAGTCATCTCAAAGGAGAATCTTTTCCTGCTCTGCTTCTTGATGAACTTGGCTACCTGAATGCAGGGCTTCCTGCTGACCAGCTGGAAGATGGCCTCTGTCTCCCAGACCATGGCTACACTCTGCACAGTCTGGAAGTGAGTGTAGAAGGCACTCATGCTTTGCTGGGCAGAGTCCTTGTCACCATACAGGCAGGAGTTGCAGCACTGATACTGGGAGTAGGACTGGGATGATGGAGAGCTGCTCTGCCCAGCATTCCCTGGGCCATGGAGGCAAAACAGATGTCCTTTTGGTAGGGGATGGCTGGCTCTGGTTGTGGAGATGACGCCTCCCTCTTTACAGTCCCTGAGAGGTGGAAGGAGATTTTCATCAGTGTCCCCAAGGGATCAGTGCCAAACCTACATTCAAGACTCTGAAAGGGTGCTGGCTCCAGGGGCCCTTGGGAAGGTCCCATCACCTCCCTGTTCGCATTTCCTCATAAAATTGGAATAATAACAATGCTGACCTGATGGGGCAATGATAGGGATCAAATAATGTAGAGACAGATGTACATATAAGTTGTATAATGATAAAGATCAAATACTGTATGAATGGGATCACCGAAAATAACCAAATTCCAAAAGGCCATCCACTGGTAAATAAACAGATTGTGGTACATCCATACAATTCAACCTTATTCACCGATAAAAAGGAATGAACTACTGATAAACTCAAAACATCAGTGAATCAGTAGTTCATTCTTTTTATCAATGAATAAGATTGCATGGTATAGATGTACCACAATTCTGCTCAATGAAAGCAGCCAGAATGAAAAGTCCATATACTATATGATTCCATTGAGATGACATTCTAGAAAAGGTAAAACTGCAAGGAGAAAGAACAGATCAGGTGTTACCAGTAGCTGGGGACAGCAGGGGAACTGACTACAAAGTGTCACAAGGGAACTTTAGGGAGCCATGAAAATGTTCTGTATCATGATTGTGGTACTGGTTACACAAATGTACATGTGTCAAAATTCTTCAAATTGTGTACTTAAAATTGATGAGATGTGCATATGTAAATTATAGCTCAATAAAGCCAGTCTAAAAAGCCAGGCATGGGAAATGTTTTGGCCAGGTCATCAAGCCCCAACTTCCCCTTTGGCATTGGTGATGTGCCTCCATCTTATCCCAGGGGGCATCTTGCCTTTGCCTTGAACACTCATTGTATCCCCATTACCATGTAAGTATTTGCCATGTGTTTAACTCCTTTAATACTAAAATATCCTAAGAAATTGCATTGTTAGATTCCCCCCGACAGATTAGGAAACTGAGGCACAGTGCATCTATCTATATATTTATTTATTTTTTATTGAAATTATTGGTGAGGCTTTGGTTCACAAAACCATACAGGTTTCAAGTGTACAATTCAATAAAACTATTGTCTGCACACTGAAGCATGTGCTCACCGCCCCAAGCAGTCTCTCCATCCCAGTTTTTCCCCTCTTTGTCCACCTCCATCCACCTCCCTGTTCTTCCCTCTGGCTAACACCACAATGTTGTCTATGTCTATCTCTGTGTGTGTGTGTATGCATGTACACACACACACACACACACACACACACATTTCTACATTTTTTTTTTTTGCTTAATCCCTTTGAAGCACAGAGCATTTAAATGACTGATGGTGCTAGAACTGTTGCCAGGCACTCTGCCCCGAGAGCTGTATGTTACCCTTGGGTGCTGCCCATTTCATGGTGGTCTTCAAATTGATGTTCCAGATTAACTTTGACCAATTTATCGTAAAGGTATTTTTATATCCCTCCTGTAATCAGAGGACTGACATGTCAACAGTTTTTCCCAATGCACATTGATTGACAATAATGATTGACATTTTATATCTTTATCCTCATATATTCTGAAATCACCTCACGAACTTACAACATTGGCCTCAGTCATACCCACCATCCATTTTTATGGCCAATACAATTCTGTGGCAACTCCAAGGGGTGACCTGGTGCCCACGCTTCCCCCTTCAGGACCTCCCTCCCAGGGAACATACCTGGCTACAATCTCCAGCTCTTTCATTCAACCTACCTGGCTAGCGTACTTCTATACTCTCCTCTGTGGACTCGGGGTTGGCCGAGCTGAGAGTGGCCCTATCTGTTGGTGACTGTTTTTCCCTATGGTCTGTGAAGTAACATTTCACACTTGACACTGGGCCCAGGGTGTTCAGTGTTCCAGCTGTTTACTGAGAGTCCACTTGGGCTATGCTTAGCCCTCCACTGGCCCCAGCGTGAGTGGCTGCTGGGGTTTTAGTGGTCACTAGGATACTGGCTTTATTCTTTGACCCATAGCAAAGACAGAGACCTAGCTGGGATGCCAGGAGAGGTTTCTTACCAGGATCTCATTTCCGTTTTGGACATACAACACATAAAGATGCAAACACATATGCATATATATACCCACCTAGAAAATTATACATATATAAACATTCATATATTCATACCAACACATACATACATAATCAGACACATATTCAAACATGCATAAATATACACAGTTAAACACACACACATATTCCTTCAACCACTCACATACATTTATACACATATGTGTACAAATCACACCAGATTCACATACACTCTATACATACTCTCATAACCCAATATCAAAATGGGCTTACTTTGCACTGGTGAAACAGAGTGTAACCAAAAATCTTCCCTATTATTCCAAAGTTCCTACCTCAGCCTCATTTAAGCCTCTTGGCTCTCAATAGCCTGGGTCTCCAGGCCCTCTGTCAGGTTGCCTCCCTGGACACTCACCCTCACTCAGCTTCTAGGACTCAAACAAACCAGGAATGCTCCCACCTGGGGCTTTGCAGTTGCCCTTCCTTCTGCCAGGAGCACCCTCCCCTAGGGCCCCTGGGATTCACTCTCTCCCTCCACTCTCTATTGATACAGCACTTTATCAGAGCAGCCTGCTTGGACACTGTGAACAAGCTAGCACTCTTTAGCCCTCCATCTCCCTCTGTTACCCTATCCTGCTTTATTTCTACTGTAGCATGTAATACCTTTGGGTGTGTATATCTGCAAAATGGGCTTATCAATTTAAGTTCCATGTGGAGACTTCATTCGTTTTCTCAGTTACATCCTTAACATCTAGAATAGCATTCGACACATTAACAAGCACTCAAGAAATAATTGTCAAATTAATGAACAAATATATGACAAACACTTTTGGAGCTGCTGAGAAAGGTGTGCTTACCTAGCTGCATTGTCTTCCCTCTGAACCTCAGATCTCAGCAGACCCTGGTAGGCTGGTTCTCACCCAACTCTGAGATTCCCCTCCTGTTTCTCTACCTGCCCAAACCTCACTCCAGGCACATCCCTCTGGCACACCTTCCTACTGGCCCATCTCTCTCTACTCCAGGATATCCCAGTGTTGAAACAGTTCAAAAAAGTGATGGAGTACAAGTTATCCAAAAGGTAACCCCCAGAACACCTACAGGAAACACCTAGGAATATACTCCTCTCCAGAATGAGAGGCCAGTATGTGGAGATAAACCCCAGAGAGCTTTACAGTGTAATGAAATTCACAGTTGCACCAACAAAGACAGTGTTCCTTTGTGGGAAGAGAACATCCTGCAAATATGTTCTTTCTTACCAAATAAATCCAGAGACTTGCTTTATAAAAACAAGAGGGTAACAACCAAAAGTAAATAGATCAATGGAAGATAAAGGTAGCTCAGAAAAAAAAATCATATTATCTATTCAAGTTTTTAAGGGATATAGTAAATAAAAGTCTGGAGGAAAAGAAAACCCAGTCAATAAACAACAGTGAAAAAATTTATTCACTATTTTTTAAAAATCAACTTTGTTCTCACATCATGTGAAACAACTAAGAATACTTTTATACTGTTCACAATTAAGTTTTAATTAAAAATGTTTACAAAGGTGGAAACATTATTATAAACATGGCATTTTAAAATGGAACCAGAACTGCCATCCCAGAGGAACTGCCTTGCACTTCTCAGGCCCCAAAACTTAGAATGTTTGGGGGCCTAAGAAGTGCAAAACAGGGCAAAATAAACTTTGTACCAGAACTAAAGCCACATTGTGTCTCAAAAGAACTACTTGCAAAAATTGCAATAGAGCACACATTATGACTATTGGACTGATGACTACTAGACTGAATATTAAAAGCATTGTTTTAGAATTAGCATTACTACACTATCCTGCACCAATAGAAGTGTCTTTTTCCCTTCCCTTTCCCTTCTCTTTCTCATAAATATCCACCGCCTTTGTCTCCTAATCAGAACATTATTTGGGCTTCTTCCTGAATTAATGATTCTAAAAGTTATTCTTATTGATCTCACATATGCTCAATTGGCTCACTTAGAAAGGTCTTTTTATTTTTAAGTTAGCAAAGAAAATATAAGTTAACATTTGTAATTAAAGAGTGGTTTTTTCCTAAACTTAAGTAATATCAGTTTTCATAAACATCTTTGAATCTTTATCATTTTTTTGAACTTTATTGCTTTAAAACAATCTCACTGTTTCAATTTGCATGTCCCTGCTTTTTAGTGAAACTGAAATGAACAAGTCAGGAAAGAAAATAAATGGGCAATCCCCAGAAGAAGAAATGCAGAAAGCTGTTAAATATATGAGATATTCAACATACTAGAATAAGAAAACTACAAATTAAAAAAAAATCATGATATACACGATATCATTTCGCCCCATAAAATAAGTGAGAGTTTAAAATGTTGACAGTACTAAGTCTTGGTGAGGAAAGACATGAGGAAATAAATACTTCTATACTCTTTTGGTAACAGTGTACCTTGCTGTTCTCAAGGGGAATTTGTTAGTACCCATTAAAATTTAAAGTGGGCAATGTTATTCTTTTTTTTTTTTAAATAAAGTACAGAAGTTCATTGAGTAAAATTCACAGCACAGGTAATCACCCACTATTACCTATATTTGTGGTTCACTTTCTTAGTCCATTCACCTCTTTTTCTTCTGGCAGGATCCTGATTTTCCACTGGGGTATTTGCCCTCTCAACCACTCAAGGAATATTGAGCTAAATCCCAGCTCCGGAGACAAACCCAGATTGGTTTGAAATCAATCTTATTTTCCTGGCTACAATTATGGTTCAGAGTTGGGCACAAGCTTCAATCTGGGTGTTAGGTATAAGACGAGGACTTAAGCAAGAACAATAGGGAGATACCCTTTTCTTTCTCTGAATGGGCACAGGAATGTTGAAACATATGGCTTTATGAGGGTACCCCTAAGGGCCAAGGGGCCCCTTGTGTGGGCAGAAGACGAAGAGGACCCTGGAGAAGGGCACTTTACTTGTCATCTTTTTCCTGAGAAAAATTCACATTTTGTGCTATATGGGTAAAATGGCATGTAGAGAAATATTTATTGTAGATATTCAGTATTTATTGAAATATTTATTGTTCATAATAGAAAAAAGGAAACATTTTAAAGATTGAGCAAAATAAATAAATAGTTAAATTACCACATAACCAAATTGTGGAATACTATGCTGTAATAAAGAGGAGATCTGCATGTACTAATAAATGAATTTATAGTAAGTGAAAAAAGATGCAAAGTAATCCTATTTATGTAAAAATTAAAAATGTTAACTTCTCCCCGCAAAAGCCCCAAACCAAGTTCTAGAGTATCTACATATGTAAAGGCGCAGAGCAGATCTGAAGAAATAGGAACAGTGGTGACCTCAGGAAAGGGAAGAAAGATTAGGTGGGAGATTGTATTTTCCAAAGGTGGCCACACCAGTGTATCTCTCACTCCATGTGCTCTTTTTCAGTGTGAAGTTGACGCTCCTCTATTGAGAATGACAAAGTGGACTTGCCTCAACTAATAGGATGCAAAAAATGCTTGGAGATGATCAATGATAGTTCATAAAAAACACTATGTCTGCTTGGTTCTCTATCTATCCATTATCTATCTATCTATCTATCTATCTATCTATCTATCTATCTATCTATCATCTCCTTTCTCTCTCTAACATTATCCACTCTCCTTTGGACTCAGCCACCATGTTGTGAGTAAGCCCAGCCACTTGGAGAGGGTGATACTGGTGTGGTGCCCCGAGTGAGGAAGGGGCCACAAGAAGCAGTGCACATGAAGCTAGGCTGCCTGGGTAAACAAGCTAACACTGTGCATGATGACAGATTTCCCCACATCCAGGGAGAGACATGGCAGGAAGAAGCCTTGCACAGAATGTGCAGAGGCTAGTGGAGTGTGTGGATAAGGGAAAGTCCTCCTACCCCACTTCCGGTACCTGGGTGTGGGTGGGACTAGGGGATACAACAGCACTTGTACCATGAAAATCAACATGGCAGCAGGGGGAGATCCTGTCTTATCAGTCTAGTCTAAGAAAAGGACAGGATTGGCTGGGGGTAGGAGGCAAACTATTCTGGAATGCACGGAAGTTTGGGCTAGGAGATTTAAACCAAGAGAGGGAGAAACATGTGCCTCTTTCCTCTGGGACCCACCAGCACGGATGTGTAGGCTAGACCATTTGTGAAACAAGCTAGGCCCTGGAATCCATGGGACAATGACAGTGTTGGCCCCATTCATGGACCTCAGGAGGGAGCGTGAAGCCAGAGAGCTGTCCACTTAGCAGCCTTGGGCTCCAAAGGACAGGTAAGGATGGAGTGGGATTTCTGGGCACTGTTTCTGGTTCTAGAGACAGCTGGGTTTTGTCTCGGTCTTGAGGAAAAGATGAGCCTGGAGCTGGGGGGTTCCTCATCCTCCCAAATTGTACAACATTTTAATAAAGACCTCTTTCCTTCTCCACCCACCTTTGTCTTTTGCATTTGCCTGTGGGTGACAGTGGGCAACTGAACCCTACTTTTGTTCAGTAACAAGGCCACATGGAGGTGTTCCAGCCAACAGTTTCAGCAGAAGTCCCAGCCAACCGCCATAGGTATGAGTGAACAAGCTTTCAGATAACTCTGCCTTCCAGACTTTGAGTCTTCCAGCTGGGACCCCAGACATCCCAGAGCAGAGACTAGCCATCCTTGTAGAATTCAGCTATCTGTCCTCCCTGAGTTTCTGATCCTCAGAAACTGTGAACATAGTAAAAGGTGTTTTACACACTAGGTTTGGGGTCAATTTGTTATGCAACCATAGTAACTCAATGGACTGATTGTCCTTGTTCTAGTGAGGCAGCTTATTGATCAGCA